CAATCGCATTGCAAAAGTATACATACGACTGATTTTCGATGAGTGCGAATGTGAGTGTGCGGTATGTACTAAATTAAGGCGTATAAGAAAGATAAAAGAGGAAAGGAAAGTGAAGTACAGTGATTTGTACTTGGCGGAATTTCTGAACAGATAATTGATGAGAAAATTCGTATCGGCTTCCTCTTTGCCACGCGTGAAAGAAAAAATATCGCGTATGCGAAAAACGACCTGTCGAGATTTCCAATAGAAACTTCAAGATCATACATAAGGAAAATTGAATTTTGCTTATATTAGTAAACAAATGAGTTTTCTCTATTAATAAAATTTTTTGAAATTTTAAAAAAAATGAAATAATATTTCTTGATTTTTAAAGCTCTTGACCATTTATCACAGATATCTGGATGATGACGTCAAAAGCGACAAAGTATATAATACAAAATATATTGAAATTGATATATTTTTTGATAATATAATGTTTTTAACAATAGACAGAACAGATCAGTAAAATATACCAATAACTCTTCTTTTGCTTTGGTACTCATTATATAATAATGTATTTAGAGATGAAGTGTACCTAATTAAAAAGCTACAATTCGATTCAATTCGAAAAATATTTTAATTTTTGCAAGAATCTTCATCACGTTTTTTCGTTTCTGATATCATAATTTAAGACATCATAATTTGGTTGCAATGAGTCAGCACAAGTCTGAATATTTAATAAGTGACATAATTAATTCTTGAATGAAACATACAAAATATTTTATTTTATAGACATTTTTTTTAGACGTCTGATTACATTAACGATATTTATTTAAATAAAATGAAAGTTTAATAGTTGAAAATACATTCTTGTTAGTTTCTATAGGGGCACTCGTTAGGTATTAGCAATTTTCTAGTGACAAAACTGATAGAATAAAAAAATCGATGAAGTGCTCTTTTTAGGCTGATCCTGATGGGTTCTACGAAAGTGACTTATTGGCTTAATATAAACGCGACGGAAGTTGGCGGAAGAAAGTGCAAATTCTCCGATTTACGCTTTAAGATATAGACCTTCTTGTTTTCAATAAGCAATTATCTGGACAGAATGAGCTCTGCATCAAAAAAGAACATAATGACAACATTTACCGAGAGATGTATATTTTACTTTCGGCTAACATTTCCGCTAAATATTTTCCCCATAAGATTTGATACGCCACGATAATTTATTTATCATAACTATGCGGCACTGCGTTTTATATTTAACTGACTAGCAGTCGGTGATGGGCGTAAAGTGGTTGACAAAGTATTTGGATACATGTGCAGACATAAATATGAATGTTTGTATTACAAGATTAATACATTTTTATCGTGAGTTAATCGAAAAATTATCACATATTGTTTGATACAGAAATAAAATTGAGAAAATATTAAGACAATATCTATGTAACTTTTACTTCCAATAATGATAATTAATTTTACTTAATCAATTTTTGTAGATAAACGCGTCGTAATAATTTTCAGAATTCTCTATATTTTCCTATAAATTTTTTTACTTACATCTTTTAATTTCACTTGTCAAGTATTACTCTGTTAAAAGTATTTAGAAATAGTTATACATACGGAAATTGCATTCTTGCGCATGTATCCGAGGCCCAACACTACAAGTAGCTTAAGCATCGTTGAGCTTGCATCAAGTACGCTTGCAATTTACTGCACATACGCTGCACTTAATTTATCGGAGATTATCTGGAGCAAGACTTTGAATCTTTGTGCATAAGTGAAAAGTGATGAGCCACGAATGATAACGAGGGAAAATTCTTATGACTGTTCGATCATTGAACGAATGATGAAGTTGTACAGAGGCTATCTCCATTTCGTTATAAATAGCTCTTATGTTATTTAAGTTTTAACATTATATCATTCCAGGATTGCAAAAAAAACTTTTTTAAGTATTCAGAAGGATTAGTGATATTTATGAAAATGAGTAGTATTATATGTTGCCGTCCATTTTGTTTATATGATAAAATGATTTAATTTATTTTAAACATCTTTACTGATGTTGATTATTTTTGCAATATCACAACATATGTGTACCGATCCAATATGCATTGCTAATTTTAATGTCTATACATATTAAAAGAGTCCTTAAAAAAATGATGATTGTGCATGCTGTATATCAAAAAGTTATAAAAGTTTATAAAAATTTATGGTGGGCGTTCAATTGTTTTTTTACTGGTATGTTAATTAATAGAATTACATAACCAATTTAGTTTTAAAGTAAAACAATTTTTAAGTATTCTATCTTTGATTTCTTATCTTTAAAAATGCATATATTGATTATGCAATCTTTATTCTTTTGTATCCATTTATTCGATTATTTGCGATAAATAATATATTTCAATTAATTTAATATTATATATTAATTTAACATTATATATTTAACATTAATTTAACATTATATATTTATTTCATAAAAATATATTTCATTAATTTAACGTTATATATTTATTTCGTATCATACTAAAAATTTATTTTAGAAAAAGCACATATTGATTATGTGACCAATTTCACTATCTTAAATCTTTGTTGCTCGATTATTTGCGATAAAAAAAGATATTTATTTCGTATTCTGTATTAAAAATTTATTTTAAAAAATGCACAAATGTTTGATTCAAAGAAAGCTTGCGAAGGATCGCGCGACACTGTCGAGTCGCTTCACGTATAAACCCTATACATGTATACAATGTGTGCGTTAATTTCGCTAGCGACAGGTGCATCAAGTAGCCATAGATTTGTAATCAAGTGTGCTTTCCACCTCACCCTTCGTTTTTTGCGACACGTAGTCAGCAACACGCAAGTCTCATTGTTTAATTGCAATATCGACGGGGGATATCCTCGTCGTATTCGATCGACGTGGGTCTTTCGCAGCTCTCGCAAATATACGACACTACATAATTCTATCATAATAGCGATGTTCCTATCTTACGTTTGTGTTTTTGTACGTGTTTCGATCACGAAAAAAAAAAAAAAAAAAGAAAGAAAAGAAGAAATTATCGCGGATCTTTCCGGCTATGAAAATAAATTTTCGTTAAATAACCGCGATAACTCTCCGTCTGGCTTAGCGCAATATCCCGTCGTAGCGACTCGTTCTGTACCCGAAATTTTGTCAAACGAATACATTTGAATAAAGTAATTCACATTTGTACGGAATATGTATTACTGTTATTTTTATGAGATTACTCAAAAAAAAAAAAAAAGAAAGAAAGAAAAAAATAACATATGTTGCACTTTTAAGTTAATCTTGAATCAATCACATTGCTTTACATACAGGGTATTTCCATATCTTTTCTTAAATATATGTTATTACAGTATATTTTTTACTTAAATTGACAAGTTTGAAATGGTGCAACTATATTGAGAAATGGTGAGTCCCAGAGAAAATGATATTGTAAGGTATCCTAAGTGAAACTTCAACTTAAGGAATTTGAGGTCCAGGCATCACCTCAAGATATTGCGATAATTGTCTGACGATCGGGGAATCGGGCTTAGAGAGACTGCGAGAGTCTCCGATCTTAGCGGCGATCGGCGGGAAACGAGAGACGAAGATGTGAGGGAGAGAGGAGAGATAGAGAGAGAGAGAGAGAGAGAGAGAAAAGATAGATGAATAGAGGAGGCGGAGGGTGATTGTTGATGGACGGCGACACGGATGGACGGAAGGAACTAATCTAGATTGGTCGGCTGGTGTGTTGCAGCCACCGGTTTCAATACGGAGACAGCGGGACCACCGTCGACGGCATCGATAGTAATATCGAGTGTTACCGGCGCCGTGGAACCGGTCTGCACCTGGGATACCCCGCGGCCCTGTCCGCGCTGCGGCCGCTTCTACAGCAACAACAGTAATCTGCGGAGACATCTCAGATCGGCCCACGCGACCGCCCCCGATCTCCTCGAGCTGACGTCACTGCAACGGAGAACCGTGGTGTTGCCGCCGTCGAACCTGATCCCCGCCGCCTCCTCTTCCTCCGTCGGAGGACCGTAGCGATCGTCGAGTAGTCGTCGTCGTCAGATTGGTCGAATTGGAACGCCCCGCGACAACGTCTCCACCAAGAGACGTTGCCACAACAGCGTTCTCTTGGGGTGTAACATTAAACGGACTAGTCAGCCGATAAGTTCCTCCGACGCCGAAGATAAATGTGGACGATTGTTATGGATTGATTAGATATCAGCGCAAGCACAATATTTAACTACTATTCTTGATGTTAAATTAATTCATAGTGTGAGAGTTATTACGAGACAAGATTTTTTTTAGAGTTGGACTCTGATGATTCAATTATCGATGGAAAATTTATATTATTTATACTTTGATTCCTCTCTTCATCTGATCATCGATAGATTTATCAGTTAAAAGATCATTACAGTGACGATATGTTTGTAATAATAATACTGATATTCTCATTCATAAACAAACATATTTTATTATTTTAATAGCGATGAAAGTTAAGTGAAAGTAATTTATTTTGCCTGCAGAAACATTCCTATAACTCTTTGAAGTGTCATATAATTATATTAAGTTTCTACTTCTATATTTTTGGAAATATTATACAATTTAAAGTATTATGTTCAATTAGACAAGATAAGAAGATAAAGTGTCATTTTTTTACATAAAAGAAATAAAGATATTCTCTCGGAGAACAAGATGAGTGTGTTTAGTTAATCCAAGAGATTTTATCAGCCAACATTTATTCTGCATTTCTTATTAATCCTAATTAGAGGTTATTTCTTTTACGACTTATCATTAAATGTTACTATAAAAAAAATTCTGAAAATCTTTTTCATAAAAGGTAAACATAAAATTGCTTCTTCATAACAGTAATTATCGAGTTTGACCTGTGGCGTGTGTTGCAAAGATAATTGCACATAATAACAAATAAAGCCACCTGACGTTTTTTTCTGCAAGGTTTATACAACTTGTTAAAAATCACAAAATTAAACGCGCGTTTTTTCACAATTGATGATTGCAGCGCGAAGAGTACGTCGCGGTAGGCCACGGCTCGGAACCAGAGGTGGCAAACACTCGTCGCCGTCCGTTCACAGAAACTCACCCTCCAGGAGCGACTGGCTACCCTTGGACATGAGAACGACCCCGCCGGCCGCGATGCCTGCCTATCGTGGATTCGAGGAGCCCTCGTCGGATGGAGTGGTCAGTATCGAATGAATTTGATATCACGTCACGTTATGAATGCACACAGATATATATTTTCAAAGATATTCTTGGCTTTCTCTCTCAACCTACCTTTGTATATTTAATTCTTCTCCATATTTTCACAAAAATAATATCGCAAGTTTATGAAATGTTAATGTTTCTTTTTTTATGCTTTTTGTAGGTCCATTTGGGTGAGGGTATAGCTGTTTGCGAGGAGCAACTGAGGGCCGTCAAGTGGAGTGATTACCGCAAGTTGACACGTGGATTAGCCGCGATATTGTTTAGCCCAACAGAATTGGCAACGTGTTCAGTTACCGGTCAACGTTGGAGTCGTGCCGGCACGGCTACCGAACGCCCTGTGAAACCTGCCCTTGACAAGGCTAAAGTTCAAGCCATTATTTGTAAGTGCATAATAAGAAAGGAAAACAATACGTTAAGGAGTACGCGTTAGAAGATGTTCCTTGAACACGCGGAGAATTCTCTAAATCTGTGTTTCTCGAGTACCAAGTTAGTTTACATCTTCGCTGTTGCAGCTTACGTAACGTCGAGATTTCCGTCAGTGGACGTTAGTAGCGTGAAACAGGTTCTGGCGTACAAGTGCAAGGAGAATTCTACCGCCCTCAAGATGAAGTCTATACGATACATATGGTAAGTCTAGGCAATTCTTTCGCCTTAGTTTAGTAAACGCGAGATTTCTTTGTACGGTCGCGCGCGAAGATCAAAGGTCCCGTCTTCGTATTTCTTTCATATCTAATTGCAGCGATAGACAGGATACAGATACGTCACCGCGAGGTGAATCCGAGGACAAGTGAGAGGGGGTCCAGGGTGCGTGCAGGGTGCAGCCCGCTCCTCAGTTTCGTCGCGTCCTCCCGCACCCTCCATCCGATACGGTCCACTTGTCGCAGTGCTCCCGGATTCATCGAGGCCACGGCGATTACTGTAACAATAATAGTAACAAGCAGTACGTCGACGGACACCTAAGACGCAAGCACGAGGAAGGGCACAGAAGCGACTCGTCTCCTATGTCATCTACGCAGGCAGGTCTCGAAAAGTTGATGCCTCTGCACACGCTTCACGGCGTATTTCATTCCACCCTACGAACGGCGACGGCCTCGTATATTTAATCGCTGCTTCAGCAAACTACATCGATCGAGATCTAATCCTAAAAGGATAGGATGGAAAAGGAGCGGAAATATTTCTGATCGTTTGGACGATACCCAACGTTCGTTAACTTTCTTTATCTCTTGTTTTTTACCATGAAAATTTCCATTTTCGTGGTAGGGACGATCGTACTTTTTTACGTTCAACACGTTCAACAAAGAAAGAGATTAACATGCTTAAATATAGAAGATACACCGGAAACGCGATTTGTAAAGCACAAGCACGATAGATGAATATAAAGAGTAGAATGTTTGACAAGCTCGCGTAAAATAATACGCGTTGTTTTGAGGATAGAAAAATTCAGAAAGGTGGAAATGAACGTTGTTAGATTATATTGCAGTAAGATTAGTCGTGTTATATGGGATCTTAAAATATCGGTACTTCGAGTATACGCGTCATTTTTGGAAGCTGCTGGTTGCCTCATAGTGATTCAAATTATTCGTATATACTAATCATGGCTAACAGCTTCGAAAAGTTTAATATACTTCGAGTAGAGTTAAAAACAAATGTCAAAATTGGGCTTTATATTTAGGAGGTTTGTTCAAATGTCCGTATCGTGAATTAATCGGGACGAAACAATATTCCTATCGTGAACTTTCTTTTCAGTTTCCACTTTTATTTTAATGACAATGTCATCGCGCGCCATGCTTTTTATCCGTTTTCTTTTTTACACTCATTAATGTAATCAGGAGAATGTAAGTAGTGAAAGAGCAGCGCAGATGGAGAGAAGTTCATTTTATATATGGGCATTCATCTGATTCACAATACGGACATCCGATAGTTTAAATGAAGAATTTTAATGAAACGCGATGAGGGATTATTACGTAACTGCTTGTCTGAGAAGAAATCATCCCTTCGTATACGCGCGTTTCTCTTGTTAAAAGGTAAGTCTGTCTGGCGCATAATACGTTTCTTTTCTCGTAATAATATATAGATTCTTCATGCGACACGTAAAAAAAAAAGAAAGGAAAGAACGTAGATGTAAGGATTACGATTTACAAAATACGTTGCGAAGGGACGATTCTGCGCAAGAATATACGTACTTTAGGAGGATTTATTTGGTTTTGGCTGTGAGTTGCGACCACACATGCGAAGGAGGAGATCCGTGTGGCTCTAATGAAAGAGAACGCACCCTTCCAGAGTGAAGGCGAGTGATAAATAGTGAGAAGGCAATATTATAAAGAAAAAAAAGAATAAGAAATGTTATTAAAAAATAGCATGGTCGGACGGACCAGTCCGATCCTACCGGGATACAAGGGTAGACTTTCACATAGAGTATGCCTAATATATAAATACATAGTATAAATGTATAAATACAAAATAATATATTATAAATATATTATAGTAATATATACACATATATATTACTATATTTAATATATATTATTAACGAAATAGATGAACTTATATATTATTTGTTGGGAGAGCATATTACATATATTACACATATTTAATATATTTAGGATATTTATTTGTTGATTTGATGAGATATATATATAAATATATATATATATATATATATATATATATATATATATGTATTTGACTTTATATATGTGTATCATTGACTCTATATCGTCTAATAATTTCGAAATATCATCAAATCGATTAGAGATTAATTTGGAGTGTTATATCCAAGATTATCCTTTGAAGGGGAGCGTCATATTTGATATAGTACATCACGTACGTACACCAACAGAGCGTTCTATTAGTTCTATTTCGAATACCTTTTTTTTTTTTCACGGTTTTGATCGATTTACTAGCGCACGAGTCGCGCGATGAGTCACCAGAAACAACCTCAATTTTTTTTTTGACGTCGACTAGCTGGATTGGATCGTCTCCGCTGTCCGTTAGCCGACTACCACAGCGTGGAATGCAGAGCGAAAAATTGTTGCATAAAAACTCTGCTTCGTTTACAATAGCCACGTGTTAAATAAATTTGCGGAGTAGCGAGAGGATTTAAAAAAAATATGCATATCATGTTGTCTGTTGAAATTATATATTTTGCGCGTATGGCGAATATAAAAATATGAATGCTCGCAAAACTAAACGTTGCATCCGACATTTACAACACAAACTT